GCAAGAGCTTCCCCGGGTTCCAGCAAATGGGGGTCCCGGGGTTCGGAATGGTTGTGGGGGGCCCGGGAAACATCCAAAGCCGGGGGGTTTTTTTTGGGGGTGTGGGGGTGTGGGGGGGAGGCCACTCATGTAACCCCCTCCCTCCCCTCCAATGCGGGGAGGGAGCAATATTTGCGTGTTTTGGGGGGTCCTTTCGGAAACGAAATTCACCCGCCTTACCCCCCCGGGAGAGGAGGGGACTTCCTTTTTAACAGGGGAACAGGGGAGTAAAAAATTGGTTCATAATTATTTCTTATTCAGCGGGTTTCCCCGCCCGGGGGGGGGGGGGGGGGGGATTGGTGTGTGGGTGTAAATTACGTGCGAACAGGAGGCGCGTGCGGCGGTTGTCCTTGTGGGCGTTGTGGGTAGGTCGAGACCCTAAATGCAGCAGCGCTACAGCCCGTGGCAAGGAGCATTCATAGCGCGAGGAGAGGCGCCGACAACGGCGGCTGCTGCTGCTGCTGCTGCTGCTGCTGCTGCTGCTGCTGCTGCTGCTGCTGTAATAATTGAGCGCCTCTGCTAGCGTGGTTGTTGGCTGTACCGGAGGCCAGATAGACGGGGAAGAAACGGAAAACGTTGCGGGAAGGTATGTTTGCCGTATGCTTTTCTCCGACCATTACCACAATCGACGTGTATGCGCTTGCTTCGAAAAATTCCTCAGGGCATGTTCAACCCTGCCGCCGCGGGCTACTTCGTAACGCCCGGGGGGCAGCAGCTACCCATGCACGTGGCCGCGGAAATGGCGGCGGCAAGCGGGGCCGGCGGGGCGGGCGGGGGGGCGGGGGGCGGCGACTGGTACCCGGATCAGCAGCAGCAGCACTCTAGTCCTGTGCCGGTGAGATGAAATGAGTTGTAGGAGGCGTACAGACGGAGATGGGAAGTGGGGGAGGTTTTGTATGTAGGAAGAGGCGGCGACTTAGAAAGGGGGTTGTGTCTAGGAAGGAGAGGAAACGATGGAGAGATTGTTTGTTCAGACAGTGAGAGGTAGCTGTAGAGATAACCGTTTTTTCAGACAGTGATTTGAGACTACCAGGTACGGCAAGAGGGGGGAAATAGAGGGCGGAGCCGGGAGAGGAAGAGATAACGAAGAGAGAGGCAGAGGCACAATCAGAGAGAGAGAGAGAGAGAGAGAGAGAGAGAGAGAGAGAGAGAAAGGACGTCGTGGGTGTGCGTGGATATTTGTGAACAACGTCAAGAGTATCACTTTTCCAGAGGTGCCCTGAACTTCTTAACCAACGTTTAGATTTTTCGTGACCTACAGGCAGCCACCGAGCGTGTCTGGTATCCATCTAGTGAGCGGTAGAACAAACACTCGTGCCTTACCGTGACGTTGTCGTGCCTTACTGCATGCGCGCGTATCTGCCACCCCGGATCTGTTATAGCTACTCGTATTTTCAACACGGCATCATGTTGTTGTTCTTGTCTTCACATTGAAAATCGTCCCGATTTCTCCGCGCAGAACCTCCATTTACAACTGATTTACCCGTATGTACAACCGTCTTTTTCTCTTTTCCGGTGCCAATACACATCACTAACATAACATAACAGGTGCCGTGGAGCGTGGCCGGGGAGGGTGCGGTCCCATCCGCGGGACCCCCGACGGGCGGCGGCGCGGTCTTGACGGAGGACGTGGTGCTTCCCCCTCCTCAGGCCGATAGCTGGATGAGGACGGCCGTACAGCAAGAGCTCCTGAGGGAGCAGCTGCAGCAGGAGCAGGCGGTCGCGCAGCAGTTCCTCCACCAGCAGCAGCAGCAGCAGCAGCAGCACCTCGTCCAGTTTGGGGCCGCCGGGGGAGCCGGGATGCCGGCGCAGGCTTTGGACATGTCTCAGCAGCCGCTGCTGAATGCCCAGGTAGGTGTGCATTTTGTGTTTTTCTAGTTGACGTTTTTGGTTCTGGTATGTTCGGCGGCGTGTCGTTGTTGGGGTTAGTGTTGTTGGTGTTGGTGTTGGTGTCGTTGTCATGCATAGTCTGATTTTATAATCAGACTTGCATAGTCTGATTTTATAATCGGACTACCCGTTGGAGATATGAATAGCACCATAGTCGAAGGGGACGGGTTGCAGTCCTTTTTGAAGTCTTTGCAGTGGGTGGATACTGGGCTTATTTTGAGTCTACTTGAGCCTAGACATATAATGTGGTCAGTGTTGTCATTGTTACTGTCGTTATCGGTGTCGTTATCGGTGTCGTTGTCGTTGTCGTTGTTGTTGGTGATGGTGGCGGCGTCGACGGAGAGCAGCCGTGGTGCTATCTCAGTGAGTTGGAGCCCCTATTCCGCTGTAGATTGCTGACGCGAGCCACCTGAAAGCTACCATATATCCCTCCCGAGCAATCACCTACTGCTGTATTATAATTTGATAATTTGAAGCTCGATTTTTTGTTCCTCGAAACCGCTGGCCATATTTCCAGCACCTCCTCGGCAAAACCGGAGGCCCCGCGAAATCATTTAGTGCATGGAGGCTACCCCAATGTTGTTGGCGGTGGTGGTAGGGCACCTCCTCACACCGAACCCCTCCCCCTCTCCGTCCATTCTTCGTGTGTGTCTTGGTGCGGTATTGTCACAGGCCATATCGTTTGAGCCGCCTGCAGGCGGCGCTGCTAGCGGTATCCCTGCCGGCGGCGGCGTGTATTACCCCCCCCCGCCCCCTCAACAACAGCAACAGCAACAGCAACAACAGCAGAACGCGACGGGCAGAGGGGCGGGAGCTGGTCGGCAAAACTTCTAGCGACGCTATCAAGATTTTGACTGCCATTAATCATGCCATCCAGATTTCATGTAGTGTCAATCGGGGTAAAGATTTTGAGGCCTCAGAAAAAAAGCAAAAATACGGGGATTCGCGGTTGAAGGCGTCTGTCCCGCATCATCTATTTTTTTGCTGTTTTCTGGCTGCTGGAAGAGCTGCTACATAGCGTGTGGAAAGGCTGGGTGTGTGTCTCGTTGTGATGTGGGTCATTGGTAGCAACACCGGTTTTAGGAACAGCTGGAATTCCGTGTGCAATCGCCCAAGACCGCCGTGAGTTGAGTGCCGGAGGTTCTGGGACGCTTTTGTTCATGTTTTCGTTCTAATTTTACCGTTTCGTATCGTATTTTGTGTTTTTGTAGTGGGCGTTTTTTTTCGCGCTGGGGTTTAGGGACAGACCGCAGTGAGTCCGAGCACTATCCAGATGAGCGCGTGCTAGTACGACTATACAACGCGCGCTATTGCTATCGTAGGGTGTTCTTCTAGTTTGGACGAACGCCAACACAGCGCATTCTTAGGCAAGCACAACTCATTCTTAGGACGTACTAGCATGAGCATAAAGATGTTGAGATGAGGGCGTGTGCTAGTACGGACGCACGCAGTTGACAGCTATAAGAGCGCGTCGCTGCTACTGCAAGCTTCTTTGGTGCGGGGACGCGCTGGAAACGTTA